TGGTGGAAAAACAGGATGAGAGATCACATCATAGGAGAAGACTATGAGCTATGGGACATTGTCACAGATGGTCCACTGGCTACCATGAAGATAAATGCCGAAGAAGAAGAGGTGCCAAAAACAAGAGCTGACTGCACTGCTGACGACTTGAGGAAATGGGAGAAGAATGCTAAAGCCAAGAAATGGCTCGTGTGTGGACTTGGTCCGGACGAGTACAACAGAATTCAAAGCCGTACTACTGCTAAGGAAATTTGGGACACTTTGCAAGTGGCTCATGAAGGAACACCTCAGGTGAAGAGGTCCAGAGGAACTTTACTATATTCTCAATATGCGAGTTTCACTATGAAGGAAGGGGAAACCATCCAAGAGATATATACAAGGTTCACCACACTAACAAATGAACTTAAGTCTCTTGGAAGGGTTATTCTCGAAGAAGACAAAGTTGAGAAGATTTTGACAAGGGTTCTGCCAGTTTCATGGGAGAGCAAAAACACTGCTAAATAAGATTAACTTGGTCTAATTAATATCTCCTGATCTAAAAGGGTAGCATAATTGATAAGGAGAAGGACTCATCTAAATAATATCTCCTGATAGAAAAAGATTGCATAATTGATAAGGAGAAGGACTCCTTAATCAAAGAGAACACTATCCAAGATAAGGGAGGAGTTAGAGGTTGAGATCAACTAGAACTCTTCCACCAAAAAGGTTGTGCTTTACACTTTGAACAGTGATGTTTATAACCTAATGAACCTGGTCCTTGATGATAAGTGAAATTTTTTCTAACATTGTGTTGATGTTGGGCTAAGTTGAAACATGGCCTAAGCTTATGAAAAATACAGAATTTGTCATCATCAAAAAAGGAGAATTTGCCCAAGTGAAGGTTAGTTTTGAAGATTGACAAAGGAAGCTCAGGCATGAACCAAGTCCATCTCTTATGTGCATAGACACGGGCAGATTCGAACATGTGGAATGCACGTGAAGGAGATAAGATTAACTTGGTCTAATTAATATCTCCTGATCGAAAAGGGTTGCATAATTAATAAGGATAAAGACTCGTCTAAATAATATCTCCTGATCGAAAAGGGTTGCATAATTGATAAGGAGAAGGACTCCTTAATCAAAGAGAACACTATCCAAGATAAGGGAGGAGTTAGAGGTTGAGATCAACTAGAACTCTTCCACCAAGGAAGAGTAGCATTGGAGCTCTAGTTGTTTTCTACTCTACTAACTTTATAAATCGCAGGAAGTTCTCATTCTACAGGTGACGCACAAAAGTAGAAGTTAAACATGAATTGAGAGCAAAATGGCAAGGCATTTTGCAAGCAATTTGTGTGTGATTCAAGTGTGCGAACCTGAAGCTACATGAACCAGATAGAAGAACCAGTTCCAAGTGTCTGTCTTTTATTCTAGTTCAATTGTAGTAGATGTTTTCATATTATACCTTTCAGCTTTATCTAGAGGCAATTGTAATAGGTACTCAGAATATTCAAGTTAGAGTTAACTTGAAGTTGTCGCAGCAGTTAGAGGCTGGTTGCCACAACGGGATTAGAGTTAATCCTAGGTTTACAAAAGTATTTTGTAAATGCATTTTTTGGCTCAGTGATTTAGTGGAGAGTTTGGAAAAATCCTACTGGGAAGTAGGTCGTGATTTTTTCACCTTTTGAGTCAAGTGTTTTACACGTAAAAATCCTTGTGTTCTTTAATTTCTGCATTTATTATTTCGCAATAGTAGTATAAGGAACACATAGAAGAACCGAGTCCCTCTATAATCTGTGCACGCAAAAATTGGACACCACACAAATCACCCCCCTCTTGTGTGGTATTGAAGTTAAAACATCAATATCCTAAGTATTTATTTAAGGAGATGGTTACACATGAGTCTCAGAGAGCACCACAAGAATTTATATAGCGCAGCATTTTTCAGGGCTCCTCCAAGCAATGACATAAGGCCACCCTCTCGGACTCTACCTTAGCTTCTGGAATTACAAACCCAAAGCTTTTGTCTATGTCGCTTCTTTTAACTCCAAGGCAAGTGGTTTCTTTCATCCTGATTCTCGAAAGCAAGGGACTGGAAGTAGATGATGAAACTTTAATCGACAAGGGAACCAATACCTGTAATGGTATGAGTCATTGCCTTTTAACGAATGAATAATTGAATATGAGTCCATGCTTACTAAGGAGAAAGAATGAATGTTGTCAAATGTGCTTTAATTTGTACAGTGGAGGCAACAGGGATAAGTCCAGGTCCGATCACGCTTCTAAGTGTAGCTGCTGTGAGCTACACGTAGACCTTCTCTCCTCCTTGCCATTCCAATTTGGCACATTTTCCCACTCCCCGGCTGTAATGCTTACCACCATCGCGAGCACTCTTTTCACAGTTTTCAAATTTGCAGAGCTTACCTCCTCTATGCTTAACAAAATAATCTGTAATCTCCCCCTCCCACCCCTCCCCCGGCACTCTTAGTGCATCCTGAACAGCACACCTCTTCCCACCCCCCGTGAGAAACACGACAAATTTATGCCTCCATGTTCACTCTTGGGGCATATCCCACCATCATCAAAGAGACAACACTTTCCACCATTATGGGCCTT